TCTTTATCTTTTAACCAAATTATTTTGGTGTAAAAAATTTCAAAAAGCAGGACTAGCGCAGTATGAAGAATGTAGAATGTTATTGCCTATTTCTTCCCCCTGTGCTAATAGGGGTAAGGTGGAGTGGTTTAATTTACTAACCAAATGAATTTGGAAACAACCATTTTAAAAATGTTCATGAAACAAATGATGCCCTTCCTTATCTAAAAGTTTCTGTGTTGTAAACCTGAGCCCAAACAAAACAGTTGACTGTGTGACCCACAGAAAAACAAATGATTTTTCTTATTTCCCCTCCTTGAGTCCTCTGCATTTGTAAAAAGTAGATTCTTTTTTTTTTAAGGTTTTAAACACTGAATGCCTTTTTGCTTTATGGTGGAGAATGGGGACAATGATTGAATCAATGCTAATTTTTAGGAGGAAAATGTCCTTTTTTGCTTATAGTTGTCTTTCATTTTATGAGATATCTTAAACACACAATTATCCTTATTTATTTGACAGAAGGCAATGCTGCATGTACTTTTAAACTGGAACTAATTTACACTTTCCCAAACTTTATAGGCATTTAAAAGAACCACACTAAGACTTCAATTTGCTGGAAGAAACAAAGCATCACAAGGCAGTAGCAATGAAAAAACAAGCAAACAACAAAATAAAACAAAAACCAAATAAACCAAATACAAACTCTTCCAAAAACTTTGAAAAACAATGCAGTCATGCATCAGAAAATGGTAATTTTTTCTATATTTCATAGCAATTGTAGTTTTATTTCAAAATTGTTTGATACATGAAACATTCTTAGTCTACTGAAAGTATTTACCTCCTAATAACTTTCCATTTCTTTTCTTTCTCTTTTTTTTTTTTCTTTTGTGAAACATGCTAAACTTCAAAAAAAGTCACTGATAAATGTTAGGTTTAAGATGCAATATGTATTCTGGGGATTTATCCAAAAGAATTAATTCAAAGGCAGGAAAACTTAAATGCCCCCAAATATCTGTTCACAAAAAAAAAAAAAAAAAAAAAAAAATTCTGATGTAACTTGTGTATCTAAAATCAATGAGTAATGATTCCCAGATACTGAACTGAATGAAAATGATACTTACAAAAACTTAGAGGGCTCGTGGGGAAAAATGCTTATGGTGCAAGAACCAGTGAAAAAATCAAGATATAAAAGTAAGATGTCAAAATATAAAACTATTACACAAGGCAAATGTTGGAAAGAAACACTTTAAAACAAAATTCATTTTGTACAACAATGGTGGAACTGTTGGTTTTTTAAATCTTCTACTTCCAATTTTTTTCTTCCTCACCTTTTAAATAAAAAATTGTTCTATTTCTCTTCATTTTTTCTTTGTATGCATTTTGCATGTTCACATTGGAAAAAAATGATTAAAAATTCTATCTTTAAAATGGAGTCAAATTTCAGTGTTTTTGAATTCAGAAAGGAGCTGAATTCCAAAAGCAGATCAAACACTTCTCCAGGAAAAATGGAGGAGAAGGAGGAGGAGGAAGGAGAAAAGAGGAAGAAGTGTAATAATATTATTATTAAGGAAAGGAAACAATTTTGTTATGCAGCTGTTTTTAACTTACACAAACTAAATTTAATTCTTCATTGAAAATTCATCTTTCCCAAAGATGTAAGGTAGGGGAAGAAAATGGAAAATAAATACAATATGTGTTGGTTGTCTTTGATACCAAAATGATTAAGAAAAGGAAGAGGAAAAGTTATGGCACTCCAAGTCTGCCCATTCCTGTCCCTAAGTTAGGAACGTGAGTCTTGATCAGAAATAAACCTTCTTTCAAGTTAATTTTAGCGTGGGGCTCCCTCAGGGCCAGCCGTTGGAGCACCAATCAACAGCATTTACTCCCCCCAACCCTAGCCTGAAATAGCCAGGTCACTGAGGCAAAACTGATTCGAGGGCTTGAAAGAACTGTCTCTCACTCCAGTTGTCTCCTCTGTCTTGTGTCCTCCAAGCCTTTGCAGCCGCTGACTACACACACAGAAGCCCCTTCTTTTAGGGGTGGAGAGGATTAGAATTCAGCGAAACAGCTGATTTTAAAAAAGAATTCATCCGTTTCAACTCAGCCGTAATTGGCAAATTTTTAAATCATTTAAAATAGGCGGTTTAAGTAAATTGACATTTTCTCCTCTACTGCGATTTTAATTGCATCTAAACAAACTGAGGAATTTTGGCTAACTTGTAGACTTCTGGTTTTTAAAGGACAAAAAAAAAAAAAAAAAAGTCAGCCTAAAACGGAACTGAATTCAATTGCTACTTTTACAAAATTTTGTTTTCCTTTGCATCTAGGAAGAGTGAAATTTGGGCTGCATTTTGGTGGCGGTTCAGGTCAGGATGAAGATTTTCGAGCTTTGTTTTAAAAATTAAAGAGTAGTAGATCCGTTCCCCAGGGAGCAAGCCTGAGGCGCTTTTATTAATACCTACACATTCAAATTACATGGAGGGAACGGCACGCGAAGTTTCTGGAAGCAGCGCTGTCCTGACCACTTTCCCTCCGCCTGCCTCCCCAGTGGAACAGAGGTTTAAGGAGATGGGGGCTCCTGCTCAGGCAAAGGCCCAGGAATCCGACAGCTTTTCAGAAGTGCGCCCACAAGCACCGGGTCCCCAGGCAACGCAGACCCGTGCACTCTGCCCAAGATAATCTATGCTGCCCCCCACCCCTCTGGACTCCGATTTTCCTGAATTCTCTTGGCTCTGCAGTTTGCATCAGCTCGTTTTTCATTAAAAAAAAAAAATGACTACTGGGTACCTACTATGTGGCAGGCACCGTTTTCAGCTCTTTGGTTGGGTTCGGTTTAGAACCGTGTTTGTGATCCGGAGCTGACTCTACTAAGGGTCGGGGTAGGTGTGGGGGTGGGACGCAGAAGTTCCACCTTCTGGCACAAAAAACCATTTTTCCACCCAACGACGATCAGCTGATCGTCTTTTAATTCCTGTTGCTTCTCGGTAAGAAAAACGTCAGAAAAACAAAAATGCGACAAACGTCGCTGGCCAGGACAAAACGCCGGTTTGGGAGGGTGGGCTCTGAAGGTGGTGGAGCCGGCGGAGGCCGCCCCCCGCCCCCACGTCCCAGCGCCAGTCCTGCTCCGCGCGCAGGGGAGACCGGGAGGGGGGCCGGAGGCGCCGGGTGCTGTCCGGGCGCCCCCGACCCTCGGGGCCGTGGGTCCCCCGGCCCGAGGGCGCGCAGCCCGAGTCGGGGCCAGCTCTAAGACTCTGCAAGGATCAGCAGTAACAATACAAACCCCGGGCGTTCGTGTTGGTGTAGGCAACACGTGTTCCGGAGTCGCCCGGGCCCCAGGCGACTGAGACAATGGGGTCGGGGACCCGGGAAGGGGGGACCCCCTTCTTCACCTGCCCTCGCCGTGCACGCGCCCCCGACAGAACTAGTCTCCTACCTCCCCCGCAGACCCCACCCCCCCGGAACACCCCACCTTCCGCCCAGCTCTGGAGGACCCCGGCATTCCCGAGGGTCGACCCCCCGCGCTTCTCTCCTGCGCCCGCGGGCCGCGCTACCCGCCACCCCCGGACGCCATCCCAGCCCCCTCCGCCAGAAACGTCGCCTCCGCTCGCCGCTCGGCCGGGGATCCCGGGCGTGCGCGTGGGGCGCGCGTCCCGCTCTCCACCGCGGATCCGGACTCTGAAGCGCGCGGAGAGCTGCCCCCTCCCCCACTGCCCAGACGGGGTGCGACCGCCCACGTGTCGCCCCTCGCCCAGCCTAGTCCTTCTCTCGGGCTCCCGAGCCCGCGGATCCGGAACGAGTTGGTCAAAGACGAGGGAAGGGATCTGGGCGGATCCGCTTCCCCCTCCCCAGGAACGGGCGAGCGGGAGGGACCGCCGCCCCCTCCCAGAAGCTCCCGCCCCTCGCTTCCCCCAGCGCGGAGCGGAAATTACCCCCTCCCCCCGCGGGTCTGACCTGGGGACGTGGGCGGGGCTTCGCGCTGGGCCCCCGCCCTCCGCCCCTCTCCCGCCTTCCCGAATCCTGCGCCCCAAACAAAGTTCCGAGACCCAAACCCAGCGCCCGCCGGAGTCGTGGCGGCGTCCCGGGGCAGGGTGCGGGCGCAGGGGACTCCACCTGTCTGCCCCCGCCTTGGGGGGCTGGGGGCCCGCTCGGGTCTCCACCCGATTGCACCCCGCCTGCGCTCCCCTACTCGGTCCGCTTGGGTTAGCCGGAGCTGCCACCCGGTTCCCTCGGTCCTGGGGTCGTCCCAGCCGGAGCTGCGCGGTCCCCCGGGAACCCGAACATTATCATTTAGTGGCTAGTACCCCGACACGGGCCCGCGCTTCTCCAGGGGTGTCCGGAACACTATTTCCTGTGAGCTCCTGCTAACCCGCGGCGATCCCCCGTGTTCGCAGGGCCCCGGGTCCTGGATCCCAAGAGGTGGGGGAGGCTCGCGGGGCTGGGGCGGGGAAGGGAAGACCTCCCCCGCCCCCGCTTCGAAACCTAAGGAAAAGGCGCCTTTCTTTTGAAATCACCGGCTCGTGCGACCCCCTCCTGAAGACCCCAGAGTCCCCGGCTTCTCTTTGTCTGTCTTGGTCGTCCCCCGCCTGTCAGTCGCTAGCAGTTAACCGGGTGGGGTAGGCAATCCCGCGCCCCAAAACCAGTGGAAAAATGACCACACGTTTCGCCCCAAAGACGGGAGATTGGGGGCTCGACCACCCTCCCCCAGTTCAGGCTGGGGTAGAGGCAGGGGGAAGGGTGGGGGCGGGGCGCATCCCCGGGGGCCAGGTTCCTGCCAAGGGGGAGGGGGCGGGCAGAGCCTCGGGAGCGTTGCACACCCACCCCCCGCCGCCGCCGCCCCAGTTCCCTCTGAGCGTGAGCCGAGTGCCCCCTCCCTGCCCCCGGGAGGGAAGCTGTTGGGCCGGGCCGGGTTTTCTGGGCAGTGGGGCCCTGTGGCGTCGGGGGTCTTCCCCTGCAGGGTGGGTGGGGGCTGTCACCACGTGGCTTCGGCCTTTTTTTTTTTTTCCGCTCCATTTTTTTTTCAAGTCGGTTTTATTTAGAGGCGGCGCCAGGGCGGCCGCGGAGAAACGTGACACGCCAGCCCGCTCGCAGGGGTTTCGGAGCGAAGGCGAGGAGCAGCGCCGCGCCGTCCGCCTCCCAGCGCGCCGCGGGCACTTTCCGGGCTCCCCCGAACTCCGCCGCGACCTCCGCGCGCCCTCCTGCCGCCCTCCGCGCCCGGGGCTCCGGGCACACTCCCGGGCGGGGTGCACACAAAGTTTGCGGCCGCCGCCGGCCTCCCCGCGCTCGGCCTAGGCGGCTCGCCGCCCGCCCGCCCGCTCGGCCTCGCCCGGCACCGCGTCCTGCCCCGCCGCCGCCACCATGAACAAGCTATACATCGGCAACCTCAACGAGAGCGTGACCCCCGCGGACTTGGAGAAAGTGTTTGCGGAGCACAAGATCTCCTACAGCGGCCAGTTCCTGGTCAAATCCGGCTACGCCTTCGTGGACTGCCCGGACGAGCATTGGGCGATGAAGGCCATCGAAACTTTCTCGGGTAAGCGCGCGGGCCGCCTCCCCGAGCCCCGGGCCGGTTCCCGTACAACGGAGGCCTGTGTTCCGAACCCCCCCCTTCTCCGCCGCCCCGGCCGCCAACTGCTCGTTCAGCGAGCATGCGGGGCCCGGCCTCGCCGCTGACCCTCGACCTGCCGCCTTCGACGCCCCCGCCCCCTCCCGGGAATATTCGGGATTTCCCCACCCTCGGTGGGCTGCTCGGGCTCCCTTCAATCTCCACTCCCATCGCCGGGGCTGCAGCCCCCCTCGGCGGTGGCGGGGGGTGGGTGGTGGTCCGAGGGCCACGAGACGACCCCGTCTGGGCGCTCGCTGCATGTTCAGCCCCTCCCTAGCAGCCGCCAGACGGCCCCCCAGCTGGAGCACCCTCGCTCCCTTCCTAACCCTAGGCCTTCCCGGGCGCGGAAGGGGTCCCCGCCCGATCCCCGAGCTCCCCGCCGTCCGTGGGGATCACAGCCCTCGGGCAAGACTGGGGAGGAAGGGGATCCCGCCTCCCGCCCAGGGCCCGGGGCTTGAGCCATTTTGATTTGAAAGTGGGGCGTGAGCGGTGGCGCGGCGGCGCGGGTCGCCATGCTGCTAACCGAGACGCCGAGGCTGGGCCGAGAGGCGCGCGGCGCGGGACCCTCCCCGCCAGGCCCCGCGCGGCTCCCCCGGGGCCTCGGCGTTGCAACCCGCCCGACAGGTGACCGCCCTGCCGCCCGAAGCCCTTGTCCTACGCGCCACAGTAAAATAAAGTTTGATTCTGCACCCCCCCTCCCCGAGCAGCGGGAAGTCCTTTCTCTGCTGGCTGCGGCTCCGCACATCTGGGAGCCGAACGGGTAGAGCGCCCGCACAGATCACCTCGAACCTTTCCCGGTTCGGGTTCTCCTAGCGATTCACGCCACCAGCTCCGTGGTGACGCAAAGCAGAAATTAAGAGAACATAATAACGAATTGATGGCATCCGGCTGCGGGCGCCACTGACTTGCTTCCGAGGAGAAATCGGGTCCCAGGAACTTGAATTTCCCGAGAGCCCCCTGCCTCAACACCCCTGCCCCTGTTCACGCGCTCACGCTAATTTTTTTTTTTAATCTTTAGGAAAAGTAGAATTACAAGGAAAACGCTTAGAAATTGAACATTCGGTTCCCAAAAAACAAAGGTAGGAAAGAGCGCTTCTCTTCTCTGGGGGGGCGGGGGGAAGGGGACAGAGGTTGGCGAGAGGCCGTGGTCGGGGGTCCACAGCGTCCCCGGGGGCTGAGACCTGGCGTTGGCTTCTCATCCCTCGACTCGGGATGTTGGGGGCTGGGAGGCAAGACTGGAGATCTTGTCATGGGTGGTTTACAGCTTGGAAAAGCAGGAGAAGTTGGGGATGGGGTGGGCAAACAGGCGGTACCTGCAGACTCACAGGGGAGAGAATCAAGCAGAGGGAAGCACCTCGTGGGGCTTGCCTCAAGTGTGGGGCCATTTTGGTGCGGAAGCTTAAAATCTTAGTTCAGGCTTCCTGCAGGCCCCATTTTCCGTCAGGCAGGGTGGTTCGGAAGTGGACTTAGGGGATCCCTTTCTACTCCACTCTGGTGGAGACACAGGTCTGCCCCGCGCACCACCACCCCCCCCCCCCGCCCCGCAGAATTCCCTTACCCTTTATTTATATTTCTGCAACAGGCAGAGACTTCCTACAGACTGCCGCCCCCAGTTCCTCCCACCCCCTCCCCACCCCCACCCCCACTGGCTTTCCCTGAGAATATGCTTTGGCCCTCCTGTCCTGTGGCGGCCCCCACCCCGGCTCCTGCAGCCCATTGTTACCAGGGGGCCATCTGGGGTGAGAGCTTTGTGTTAGGGCTGTGAGCTGGGGCTCTTTGGAGGATCTAGAACTCCGTGGATGAATGGTGTGTGTGTGTGCGCGCGCGCGGGCTTGCGCGCACCCGTACTCCTTATCCTTGGGCCAAACAGGGTGCTTTCTGAGAATTCATGGCGGATTTCGCATCTTTCATTGAACTCTGAAATCTCGAGTTGAGCTCTGGCTAAGGAAGTGTAAGCACAGCCTTCTCTAGTTTCCCAAGCGTGGTGACAGTACCGAGTCTTCTGCTGTTGCCGGCTGGGTTGGCAGTGGCCCCCTGGAAGGCTTCCATCCCCCTTCCCCCTTCGGAAGCAGTTCTTTTTCTAAGTGGGAAGGGGGTGTGTTTGGGGGTGGCTTTGCTTTTAGAGGGGTGGTTAAGAGGATCTCCAAAGTTTAACCAGAGATAGAAATCTGTCCAGTGGTTGAGCTTGATGTATTTAAGCAACTTGGAACTATTGTATCAATAGATGATCAATATGGCTTGTTACTATGTTTATAGAGCTTCTGATTAACCTCAGATGCCTGTAGTACTGTTACTGGAAAGGCAATTAGAGTGAGGAGTGAACAGGCATACAGTTGGAAGAAGGAAAAGAAGTCTTATTTAATCTGAAGCATTTTCTGGAGATGGGAACTGGGAGAAAGAAGTATGCAGAACCCAGTAGATTTATGGAAAAATTCTGGATATTTGAATTGAAAGCTAAGTGGTGTTGGTGAGAAACACTCAGAATAACTGGAATTGTCAATGTATAGATTTTCTTTTGCTCTAGAGAGGATGGTTTAAATTTTAAAGGGAATGAAGTGAAAAGGAAGAGAAATAGCAAAATGTGGTGAAATGGAACTCAAAACATTTATATTTTAATTTTCATGGTGCTCTGTATGTATGGATCTTTCTCCCTAAGCCATCTGCTTGCTTTTAAGCCATTCCTAGCCTCTTGTTCCCTCCAAAATGGGGCTTTTTTTCTTTGAGTTGGAATGGGGAGGGGGTTTGAGAAGCCTGGGTTAAAAAAAAAAATCTCCTTTTCCACACTCATATTAAATTAGATCTTTATTCCTGAAACACTTTTTGTAAGTCCAAACATTGCATTGATTGTGTTTTCTTTTATTTTCTTATTTTTTGGTGGATGGAGGTGGTGAGAAAGGACTTCATTTTTGTAGATTGAATCAATTTTGTTTGGAGCTCTCAGGATTTAAAAAAAGAAAGGTTTGTTTTCGTTAAGTCAGTTTGCTCTATCATTTTGTGTTCTTTGAGGAAGCCTGCTGTGGTGTTTGTCTTTAGTCTGTGTCTGAGAAGTACTCTTCCAGTTGAATTTTTTTCAATCTCATGGATGTGGAACAGGAACTAGGTTTAATTAGTTACGACTAACATTCTAAGCAAACGGAATGATTACATATATAAAATTGTGTATATATACTGTTGTGTTTACATTTTAAAATAGAATTGTTCTGGATGCACTCTGTTCCAATGTAATATGATTTAAATTTTTAACAGATTCATAAAAACTCAACAACCCAAATGTTTGGGATTTTGTGTGTGTGTGTGTGTGTGTGTGTGTGTGTGATGTATTTGAGGGTTTGGCTTTTTTAGAGGGAGGAAATCTTAACCAAAAGAGCATGTCCCTCAGTTACCTCTGGGTAGCCCTGATTGTGAAGTATTAGTGTATTTTGTTCTCTGAATGTGGCATTTGTATCTTTTAAGAATTCAAGGGACTGAACGCTATATATTTAAACTGAAAACAGAAAATTGAATTTTTGAAAACGAGTGGCGTTAAATTTCTTTCCCAAATCCTCTCAGTGTTGGAATTTGCCTCACAATATAGGCTTTTTGTTGAGAATTTGTATATATTCACTGCCAAAATATTGGGAAAAAGGAGAAAAACTAATGCATTTTTAACAGTTGTAGAAAGGATTTGTGTAGTTTTATTCAGGGAGATCTGGAGTAGGTAAGACACAGGGTTACCATCCCAGTGAGACTTGTTTATTTTGGGAAATGATTTGCATTTTAAGGGAATTCAACTTTTGTTACATTTGCCTTTGTGGTCTTTTTCTCTAAAGGAATGTGACTTAAAGATAACTGTCAACTGGTGTCATCAAAATAAAAGGTGTTACTGTTAATTAAGATCAAAATGAAAGAGATACATTGCACTTTTCTCAGTGAAATGTGCTGACATTATAGAGGTTTGGATTTGGTGATTTCTTTAGCCAGCTTAGTGGTTGTGCTTTCCTGTAAGTTGACTTAAAACGAGGTCGGTGACATTGCTCCCTAAAGATCCAACTGCTAAACAAAACTGTGTCTCAGACCTGAGTGAGAACTCGGTAGAGACACAGCCTGCTGCCTGTCTCACAGTTTGGCTGGCTGAACTTAGTGCTTTAAAAAGTCTTTGCAAAGGGATGTCTTGTAAACAGCAAAAAGTATTATTTTACCCTTGAAAATGATTTGTGGAGGCTCAGAAGAGATACTTTGGGTCACTAAATGTTGTCAAAACAAGCGAAATATTTTTGCCTTCAGAAATGGATTTGCATTTAATGAAAAAAGACTTGTAGTTAGGGGGAGGGGTGGGAGTGACAAACAAGGCAGTGGAAAGTCCTAGAGTGAGGATTTTCAGCCACTTTTACTCTAATGGTTGTAATTATGGATTAGTATCCAAATCAAAAAGGAAGTTAACAACTCACAGAAGGTGAAAGAGACTTGTGATCAGTATTCAACAAGTGAGCTTAACATGGAAACAATTTTATGACCCTTTTCGTAAAATGTTTCATACTAGTTCCCTGGGTTTTTGGTTTTTGTTTTATTTTGGTTGTTTTTGCTTTAAAGTAAGTGAAAAAATGGTTTTCTCTTGACATTTTCTGCACTCTTGAACGGGAAGGTGGAAATAAATCAGTCTTCATTCTTCCCATCTCCACTTGGATTTCTACTGAGAAATGAAACTTTGGAGGTGACTTGCCTGATAGGGAGGAACTTAAGTCTTCTTTGGTCAGTATTTCAAGAGGAAACTTTCCCAAAGTTAGTGGGATTTGACTCCCTTGCAGGAGCTGTAAGTTTTGAGAACCCCTTATATTCTGGCCTAAATCATAAAGGTAAAATTTTACTCAATAGTTTCTCAGATGAAGAACTTTTTAGTTAAGGGAAAGAATTTCAACTCCCATCACTAATTTATTCAAAGTATAGTTAGCTGTTCCAAATGCAAAGCTTCGATGGCACAGTTTTTGGTGGAAAAAAACAAAATGTTCTTATAATTATGTTTCAGAGATGAAATACATACATTAGCAAATGGGCAGACTCTTAATTCAGAGGCTCTGAGCTTCTAATCTTTTTAAATTACCTTAATCTATATCATTTGAATCTATTTTGTGTGTGGGTGCTTTTAAGGCTTATTTTTTTAAGAGTTTATTTATTCTGTATTTTAATGTCTAACAGGCAGTTGACAAAGATGCCATTGAGAATAGGTTGATAGGAATACAATTTTAAAAGATCGAGAAACTTTTTCAGATATGAATGAAAAAGGAGATCGGGAAGTAGTGTTTATTGGAGTTTAGAGTTTGTGTCTGAGAGAGATTTATTGATGAGACAGACCTCTGTGGATTTGTGGAGGGGGTGCCAGTTGGGTGGTGGCATTCCTTACAATGAACGCTTGAACCCAAGGCGTTTGAAGAACAGATTTTTTTTCCAGCTTTTGGAATTTAAATTAAATCTTATTTATTTTCTTAGTCTCATTCATTCTCTTAAAAGATTCTATCAGTGTGGTCAGGATCTACCAGAAACTGCTGCTTAGATTTTGGGGTGAGAGCTCTGGGGGAGGGAGAGCGAGCTACTGGGGAGCTGGGAGCCGTCGGGGCGCGAGTGAGGGTCGGGGTGGAGGGAGGCGAGGGGCTGTGGATTTCCCGCCAGCCCCAGAGACACTGACGGCGGGAGTGGGGGGCGGCCGCAGGTTCGCAGAGCTGGGCGCTATGCTACTTTTGCTTTCGGAGTTTCCTTTGCAAATTAAAAAAGGAGACAAAGTGGTGGCGCGCTGGAGGCTCTTTCCGGAGAGCTCGCGCTGGCCCTGCGGCCCTGACCCTTCCCTGCCCGGCCTGGCCCCGGCGCGCAGTCCCGGCCACTGGCCACCGTCCTCCTTCAACAAGCTCCTGCCTGAACATCCGCAGGAGAGGGCTCCCCACCCCCGCGCGCCCCGCGCGCGCCCCTAGCGCCCAGGGGCGCGCCATAGCCTCGGGCGCCCAGGACTCCAGCCTTGCCGCTCCCCGACTTGGAGGGTTTTCCTGCCTGCAGGGCGCAGACCTTTTCCGCGTCTGGGCGTCTGGGCTCCTAAGGCCGAGGGCCAGTGGGG